CAACCTACTCTGCCTCCAGTGTATAAAACCCAAACAACTCCATATTACTGTATTACAGTAAGTTCCTTGTAATTTTGAGTTATCCAGTTAGCATTCCCATCAAATGTAATAAGCATTTACTTGAACATTAGCATATTTTTAGGAAAAAGAAGGAACAGGGCATGGACTCCTCATTTGCCTTGGATATCAAGGCATGAAGCTCAGAGGTGAGGCTGTATGTCCACTACAGTGCAGTCATTTCTTTGAAGTGCTCTGTCTGGAGTAACTTACCACTGCAGGAAAGTAGAATCACAATATTAAAATGAAGGAAAGACACATGTAGGGAGTGGGTGTTGGTAGGTTTTAGGGTGCAGGAGATAAACCCAGCTGATCTAGTCCAATCCCCCTGCAATGAGCAGGGACATCTTCAGCTAGCTCAGGTTGCTGCATCACTGTCACCTTCAGTGGCCAACTCCAGCCACTGCATAGTTCATAGACTACCAAAGGCAACAGAAAGCCTCACATTTAATGGATGTAAGCCAATTTGTAGTGCTTAAATTAGATCATGTTTAATAACAGACTTAATGGCAAGTTATGTTTTCCCTTTTGTAAGTTGCTATTCATTTGAATTAATAATTGATAAAGAATTCTGTTCCTACTCTTTAGAACGTGATGCTGGATCCCTTGAATGGGTGGCACAGCCATCTAGCTGAAGTTTACCACCTTTTGAGTACAGGATCAAGTCAGCAGAGTCTGACCTTCTTAGAGGACTTGACTATCCCAAGAAAGCTACTGCCAAACAGAGAGTGGTATGGTTTATTCTCCCAGGGGAATCCTACAGCATCTGCTCAGACAGACACGTGCATTTCAGAAGAACACAGGCTTTATAATATTTGCCTCTTTTCTGGAGTTTACTGTGAAAGTACTTGTCACCATGTCTGTCCATCCCCATCTGAGGTTTCATTGCAACTGTGGGCAGAAGCAACAGGCACCTTCCCTGTTTTGTTTCCTCTGCAGTTCAGTGTCAGTCACTCAAGACAATATCAAAAGACCAGCACTCCTAAACAAGTGAAAACAAAGGTTTTATTTACAGGAAAAAATCTGTACACTGTGCATACATAAAAATATACAAAATCATAATAGAAAATATAAAAAGTGTTAAAATGTATACAAACACTGCTTAAAAATGTGACTCCTGTAAAATTTTAAGCCTTGTTATCAGAGTCCACATTCATTTAAAAAAACCATCGTACAAAATAATTCTCAAAGCTATTAAAAAATTACACAGTCTATATCTGAATTCAATGACTACATATTATAAGAGTGATGAGACGATATGAATAAACGTAAGGCTTTTATACACAACTCTTATTTCAAGAACTAAACTCAGAATCTGATCACGAAGCCAGAGAGAAGAGAATTGCAGTGTTAAAATTCATTCAGTGATGCAGGTATGCCCAGACATGGGCTACTTTAAATTTCAAACAGTTAAATCAGGTATCCTCCTTGTATGTGAGAGGATAGCTCCCAGGAAAGATTCAAATGCTTTCTAATGACAGCCTTCTAATTACCTACTTCAAAAAACAATTTCATTTATTAAATATGCATCAACCTTAAACAGCATGAAGGGGAAATAGTAGCCATTTATTTTTGCAGTCACTGCATTTAGTATTCCTTTCATGGTACATCTGTGTCACTGTCCAAATGGCATTTTCCATCCTTAAAAACAGCTGAAAATAAAGGAAATTAAAAAGAAAAACACCACTATGGACTGGCTTTGTCTACATGGTCTTTGAACTCCTGTTTAAGTCAATCCATCTCTCAAATGACCGTGTTCAGCCTGTGCAACCATTGAGTGTGGACACTTGTCTTCATTTAAGACAAAAATTGTCACCATTTTTTGACCAAAAAGCATGTTTTTGTTTTTTTTCTGACTTTGGCAAGAGATCTACAGCAACAAGTTCAGAATTTCACTGACTTCACTAGAGTTTCAGTGGCATAAAACTGCACAGCAAGGTAAAAAAACCACAAGCTATAATAGTTTAATCCAAGGAATGACTGACTGAGCTGTGAGTTTATGCTCAGGTAACCTTTAATACTTATTCTCAGAAGAATATTTTAGCTCAAAATGAGTCAAAATATTATTATTTTTAAAAATAAATGGAAGAATACCTTGATTTAACCATCCAAAGGCTGAATGCATAAAAGGAGAGAGCACCACAAGTCAGAAAAGCTACAGAATAATTCACAGTGGAAAAAAGAGCATCGTGAAATTCAGTGTAAACTCAGCACGTCTCCCTAAACTGCTGCTGTGTTTCTGGTGTGTTTCAGCTAAGTGCAATGCTTGTCCACAGCACCAGGGCACAGAAATGAGGCTCAACAGCTTTTGAAGGCAACTTACTCCTCCTACCTGTCAGTAAAACTGCAGAAATGCAAAACCTGCCTTCTTGCAAGGAGAGTGGAGGGAGCTCAGGGGTAGCCTAGCAGAGGCGTTTGTTTGGCTGATGATGCACCTCAAGAGCTGGGTTTGGGCAAATGTCTCTTGTCTATGCTGCCATTCCACTCTGTATCTTTTTCATACCTGTATCTTCTCAAAAACCCCCATGATCTGGGTGGGAAAATTCACAGGCTGCATTTACCACATGGAGCTAAACCCAGCACTCTTGTGCATTGCCATTATTAAGAGATATGTGGTTTTGTGTTACTACACACTCAGTGTTTTCAATTTACTGAATGTAATTCTTTGTACAGATCTCTCTGCCCTCTCAGGGGATAGAGAAAGAAATGCCCATAAATGCAAAAATACGTGGTGGGGTTAAAAGCCAGCAATGCCAATGCCACAGAGCATAAGCAGTGGTGAAAGGAGCACCTCTGCAGCTCCTTGCTGTTCCCCTTTTATTTCTGCCCCTTCCCCTCTTGCAGCAAGTGGAGGTGAGCCCTCAGGTAGCAGAGCAGGCATGCTTGCCCTTGTGCCAAAAACCAAAGGAGGACATGACAAGGTAGAGGAGTAAAGTCTCTTTAAGCAGCCACAAAGTGTTTGAGCAGGCAGACCACTGACACATCACAGTGGAAACCAGTGTTGAAAAGCCACACCAGGGATGCTTATTTTTTTCCAAGATGGGCATCACAAGGTGGTCTTACTCCTCTGTGAGCAGGCAACCATTTGCAGCAGAGCTCTGCAGCATCTTCTGAGGTGATGGTGCTCCAGGACCCACATTTGCCCTTAGGGAAGGAGCACTGACTGCCACATAAATCAGGATACAGCAATGAAACTTCTGCTGTGAGGGCTTGAGTGTGCACAGTCCAGTAAATTAAAAATATACAGTTCATTTTATAACATTTCAGACCTGGTTCTGCACTGTTATTTAAATTATGTATTAAATAGGTATGCTTAGGACTCTTTACATGAAACTCTCATTTGCCTTGTTCTGTACAACAGCTACCTTGATTATTCTGACAAATTGCTGAGGGAATAATGCAACATAATCCTGCTGGGGGTAGTTGAGTAATACAGCTATTATTTTTCTTCTTCATGGAAATCAAAGTTAAAGGTTAGTGGTTGCAGACCACTCAAAGTGATAAGCTTCTTTTTTTTTTCTTTTCAGAACTTGAGAATTTCCAGCTTATGGAAGAGTAGCATATTCACTAGCCCTAGAAAGCTGATCAGCTTCCTTACAAACATGTGGTAGCTAACTGGGCATACAAGAGAGAGAAGTGTTTGATTTCAGTGTTCAAACTTCATGATTTTCAAACAGGGTACCAAACATATGGAAAAGCAGATTAGTTCTGAGCAGGTTATCTGTTCTCCACAAGATTAAATAACAGTGTTATTAAGAATAAAAGTTGCTGCCATACAGAACATTAAAAAAAATAATCAGTCTGTAATATATCCAGAGTCTAAGGTAAATATGAGTAAAGCATATTCATTTTGACATGTACCAAAATGATTTATGGGCATAACTATCCACACAATACAGAAGTACAGTTTTTAGATCATCTGGACATACTGTTATCAACACAAAAGCAATCTTAAGAGGATCATGAAGCTCAAATTAACAGGCCATGTGGGAAAAGAAGGCTAAGTCCTATGTAAAACACATTCTTCACTTTTGAGGAAGGAAAATCATCAGATCCAAAGAGCAGAGTGAGAGAAAAAGGATTCAGTGATTATATTTACATTACTATTTTAGAGGAAATAATCAATATTGTGTGCACTCTTGAATTGCCTGTTGCTTAAGACAAAACAAAACAAAACCAAACCACTTTCCACCACCATCTGAGTGATTTCCATCACTCAGCTGCTCTTTTCAATACCTCTTTGAGCTGTCTGCCTTTGTAGTGAGTGGACACGAGCAGGATAGAGCTGTGCTATTGTGTATATGCTGCTGCTGAATTTACCCTAAGAGAAAGGGTACACTTGTGTGGAAAAAAAAAACCCCAACACATTAACCTCCTGCCACTTGGAAAATCTGAAACTCAAGTCTTGCCATGAAAAATAATGCTTTGAACATATTAGCAACCAGGCAGATTTTTAGAAGTGCCTCAGAGAACATTCTCGTGTGTAATGAAGGAAAAGATCAAATTATCTCCATATGCAATCTGTACTCAAGTTTTCTGCAGGCATTACAGCTTCTCTGGGATACAGCCTATTAAGCATTAAATAAGAAATGCTGATACCTTCTTCTGTTGTCAGAAAACTCCCTATCCTTTCTTAACAGCAGTAACTTGTGAACATGTGAGCTTGACTTGGACCCTAATGAAATACCTAGGAAATGATGTCTGTAATTGTGAATCCTATCTCTGCTGAAGAAAGGTGAGCTCAGCCTACACTTGCTTTCAGTGTGATGTGAGTGCTGCACAGCCTCCTTTGGCTTATTCTGGATATTCTTTATCTGCACAGACCAGGGAAAGGCATCTTTTCCATCTCACCACATCCTCTTGATGGGCCTCCCAGGGAGAGTTTTGTCCTGAATGGGCTGTGAATACGTGTGTTGCTCTCTAAATAAATAAGGCATTTCTCTTTTCACTCTGCCTTATGCAGTCAGTGTGAGTGTGGGGATCTGGCATCAAAAGTATATCCAGCAGTTCAGCTGGTTGAGCTGTGTGCACCACCATCTCCACCTGCACTGACTTCATAGCCACCATAAGGTCCCCTGGACAGCTGGAGGTGTGTAACTGAGCTTGTGTATGAATGGGAATGAAAATCTCATCTAGTCAATGACTGCACAGCTCAGAGCAGGTATTACTTCATTCTTGGAGAGTGTGAAAATCCCAGGGAGCCACGAGAAATGCTGCATTGTTCAACTGGCTGCTCTGTACAATAGCAATAGAGGCTGTTTCACAATGCCAGGTTTAACAGTTAAATAAGTTCATTTCAAAATAAAAACATGTTACAGTCTAGCATACGTGGCATAAGGAACCACCAACAACTTCTGACAGTCACATCCACAACAATACATTATATTTCTGCCTAAGTATGTCCTTTGCACCTCTCATGAGCTAAGCCTTTGTTTTTCTTTCACTATTTGCAAAGCAGTAATAAATACCCAGGCTCAGGAAAGTCGTATTTCTCATGCCTGCTACTTAATTACAATTTATAGACTCAAGACTAGATTGGTCTAAGATCCATTTTTCAAGTATTCTCCTCTCGTTTATAGTACGACAGTAGTACCTTATTGCACATTGTTTCTGGAGGACTCTTTTTTTTTCTCTACAAACGTGGGAAATCACTTCGTTCAGGGCACTTGACAGCTTTGAACCCTGGCAAAATGACTTTCCCCTTGCGATACAGATCATCCTGCAAACCTTTGTTCATCCTCTGCACCAAGAGCTTCTCGTAGAGCAGCGGGTGGTAGGCCCCCAAGGTACAAGCTGCATCATAGTAGAGTTCATGGTAGTGGCACAGGTCGGTCTGGCGGACTGAGGGGATGTACTCGTAGACGTGCACTTCATCACACATGGACATCATGATGAGGATACCTGGAGCAGAGAGGGAGAACACACCTGAGCCCTGCATCTCACCTTTCTCACAGAAGTTTCCCTGCCAGTTATCCAGTCTGGTTTTCTTCCCAACTTTCCTTTTTTTTTGTTGCACACCTTAAGTATTACTCCTATAAAATGATGAAGGCAAGTAGTAGCTGCTTTTAGGAGAACAGTTTTCACTTGTCCCTGATAGACAGATTGTGATCCTACTCACAGAGGGTAGGACAACAATCATAAGGAAAGAGTAGAAAGCCTACAGAGGGCTTGCATACCACCAGCAGCCTCCTGGAGTGTGAAGACTGCTCTCTCCCACCTCCCCAACATTTACCCTATCCTGTCCAAAACCCGTCCCCCACAAGAATCAGGGACCTCAGGCAGTTGCCTGCTTTTTGAGTCAACTGATCACTTGGTTTTCTTCTATATTATCAATTCTTGAAGCTATTTGGCACGACAGACCAGGTCTGTCTTCACTTGCAGGGTACAGAACACGTACACTCAGAGAAGTTTGCTGGTGTTTTCAAGAAGTTCTTCTTGTTACTCCTGCCACTCTCTGCTTTGTATCTATCTCCTGTACCTGCCATGTAAAAGAGATATGAAATGCCCATTCTACCCTCCTCTGTGCTTTTGGATATCTCTCTTGCCAATATTTACATCCATACCCATCTTCAAGTCTATGAAGAATCTGTCTAATTTCCCTTTCCTTTTTTGTACACCATAGCAAGGGGAAACAAGAATAGAAGATGGGCCACTGTCACCCATAGTTCCTAACTTGACAACTTTTGGATGGTTCATTCAGATCACTGGCCATATTGGGTTATCAATGTAGTACTCCTTGAAGCTTCTCCACCTTATTAAAATATTGGATCTTTCTTAGTCTGGAATTGAACCAAACTACTTCTTCAATCCACTTGCTTCTCTCCCTAGGCAGGAAGATGTGATCAAGAAGACAGCCTCAATACATGCAGAAGGGCATACAAAGAAACATCAGCTATGTAGTGATGGTACAAAGCCCACAGCTTCTGACAATTTTGTGAAGAGACTCATGGAGGGAGGCTGAAGAAGGTGAATTCCTTCTTAAAGCAGTGCTGGTATGAGGAAAAGCCCTTGACTACCTCCTGCTCAGCAAGGAGGAATCCACAAAACACCAACCCACTTTTTCCTGCCATATCTCAATGGCAGACTATCATCAGGGCTATCAACAGTGGCTAAGAAAGGCCACATGGAAATTAATTTCCTTTTTCAAGCCAGGCAAAGGGTTGTTTGGACTTTAAGTGCCATCCTAAGATGCTGTTACTCTCTTTGTCCCATGCTCAAGATCAAAACTAGACCAGGACAGCTTCAGGAGGAAGATAGGTGGGCTTAAGCAAACTTTGTTCTCCTACAGCACAATTGTAAATCTATAATAACAGAAAGTCTTTGTAGCTTTGAAATGAGAAAAATCTTACTGTTGTGGCTACACGTTTTCAGACTAATTTCAGCTACTGATCAACAGCACTGTCTAAGCTGCAGTATTTTCATATCAGTCTCTTCTTGGAGCCTTTTCTGTTTGATATAGTTATGTGAAAGGGAAATGATGAAGTAAAGCTTCATTAAAAAAAATTATTATACAGAAAATATACATATAGAAAATGTGTTGGAGCATTTCTTGCACTACTGGTATCCCTGTCTACTGAATATGACTCAACTCACAAAGGAGAAAACTGTGTAATTCTCACTTTGCACTTACAAATGATAATTGGTGTACAGAAAAAAAAGAAAACAATTACAACAGCTTTGGAATTATAAAACAACAAAGGTGTTTTGGGTAGCTCTCACCAATGAAATGAACAAACATAAAAAAATATTTTGGTTCCTCCATTAAGCAAAGCCATTTTCTGAAGTTTAGTTTGCAGTTGGGGAACACAGAGATTTCAATGGCTTGCTAATGAAAAGAACCTTATGTTCTCCCTGCTGTGTATCATTAGATTATCAAAATGATTTTCCCCTGCCTGACGTGTGAAGTAACTGAAAACCAATTACTTCTGTGATTAAATCTTCTTTTATCATAAACGAAAGGTTGTGAAAATGTTTTAGATTGTTCTACAGCTTTATACTTTACAGACTCTATAGTCTTAGGAAAACTAAGCATATCAATTTCAAAGGAAAAGTCCACAAATTTAAGTGACCTTTTGGAGCACAAAACACAGATTCCCAGTGACAAAACATTTAATCCAAATTTGAGCAAAACTATGAGCTTAACAACCCATATTTCCTTGCCTCTGATCTGTTACAGAGATGCTCTGAACAGTAGCTTGCCTATCAACTATGCCTAGAATTAATTGTTTGGGTTTTTTTTTCAGTTTTACAAATGCTTTCGTCAGCTTTTCCACTGCCAACCTCCTTCCTCCACTGATGGAGAACCCACCTGCCACTCCAAGGTCACCGTTATCAAGCTGAACCAGAGGATGGATGGTCGGAACTTGTGCAATAATGAACCACATCCAGAGACAGTCAAATGACTTCTCTCCTGCACCCAGAGCCAAGCCTGGAGCCACTTTCAGAAGCTGCACCACAAATGTCTTAAGAAAATTGACTCTGATGGAAAGTACAAGCCTTAACCACAGTATATTTCATTTTCCTGCCACATTACCCAGCTAACCTTAAAATTAATCAAGGAATTTGCCATGTGGGAGATAGGAAAACTGTCAAGAACAAAAATTGGGACTCTCTTATAATTTCTTTAATAACACTAAAGACAGCCACATCACTGCAGGTATGGTTCAGTAATGACAAGATTTTAAGCAATTTCATTGACTTTCCTGTAAATTAGTTAATGGAGCACTTAGAAGGGGTGAAGTTTTAGTTCTTAGTGATCTGTGGATCAATGTCCTCCAGAATCAATCTAAAAGGCATGCTGGGCTATCTAATTTAGCTCCTTGCCTTTCCTGCCTCGTTCCATCCAGTCTGTGTCTTGGGGTTTCAGATTAGGCTCCTCATAAATAACCATAATTTCTGACAGTCCACTCAAGGTTTTGCTCAGACTGGACAATGATGTTTTGAGGGAGGGAAGACAGGGAGACAACAGGCTTGTTTCTGAGTGGTAACAGCTAACTCACAGCACTTCTTTTTGTTGAAGTCTAGGGTCAACAAAAAGAAAGATGAGCTAAAACAACGAGTAGAGATTACCACATGCAGAGGTGTCCCTGGGCTGCAGAAGGTTTATTTGTCCTGGTCAAAATGGGAGCACTCCTGAGACTTCCAGATCTTATGCACATTTCAAATGCCCAAAACTAGCTCTGGGGAAAAACGGTCATCAGTGCCAGATGATTTCTCCTTTAGCACCTCCAACACCATAGATCTCCAGCCAAAGAGACCAACAGTGCAGTACAACCAACACTCCCATCCCAACCACCTAGAGGCAAGATCCCAGGGCGTGCAGGATTACACACTCCATCTGCAAGAACCAGAGGAGGTAGGTCCCTCCACTTAGCTGTCACAGCCTCCAAATTTTCCCTTGGAATGATCTGCTCCTGATGTTGTGTTCAAAAACAGAAGGTAGCATAGCACTGTATTAAGGAAATGGGGGTAAGGCAAAAAGAAAAAATAAATCAAAGCTTTTTTTGGAAAGCAGCTCTTTTCTTTGTATGAATACAGTCCTTACTAAGTTAACACTAACATGGGGTAATTTCTGTCCTGTGCCTTAGAGTATGTGAACCCTTCTCCACAGGGGACAGCCATAGTCTTGTAGAGCCCTTACTGTAACCTAAGTTTACAGAAGCCATTAACTGCCCACCTTTAAAAGAAAATCAGCAGTTTAGACCATGAGGACATTTACACCAGTCCATGTACTAGCAGATATTCATTCTATTGAGTTTTTAATGCCATGTCTGGCTTGTCTTTCTTAAGTCCCTAAAACACAGCTGCCAACAGAGCTCTCTGGGCTACGTGGCTGATGTTCCAGCCCATGTTTTATTACCACCATTTATCTCAGTTTCTCTCTTTGCTTGGTGTTAACAACACTGCAGTGAGTCCCTGACATCTCTGTCCAGCAGGTGTAAGTGTGCCAAGCTGTATTTTCATCTACCTCAAACTCAGTTTCCCCATCTTCCCTTCTCTCCAGTTACCTTCAGTGATCTTCATTTTTTCTTTAATTCCTAGTAGCTTTTTGACACTTCCATGATCCCTTTGCTATTTTCTACAATGTTTGAACTTTTATGTTTTGGATGCAATCTCAAAGATAAAGAAGAGGTGTGCACCTGACTGCTTACTGGTTGGATGCTGCTTCTGTTAACCTGTTTTGCTTGCCAGTCTACTCTGAGAAGTCCTAGGTTGGTTCCCATTTGTTATCTTTATACAGCTCTTTCTGTATTATCACTTCCTAGGTTTCTCTTCTGTGGCTGAATCTCTTCACACTTCCTCCCACACGTATTAAAATTTTTATATCTTAAATATTCAATCTAAATCTCACAGTAAGGAAAAAGTCAGGGTTTCTGGCATGATTTAGGTTTGGCAAACATGATTGGTGCAACCATACATTCAAAATCACCACTGCAGGTATTTCTGTACAGGTTGCTCTAATTCTAATAATCCTGCCAGATCTTCAAAAGTCCCATTTGGATTACAGCTGTAAAAATGGAAAAAACTATCAAATAATTCTGCCTGTGTGGAGAAAAGTTGTTGTTAGCAGATCATTCAAAGGTAAGCTTTGTGAATGTTTTATAGTTGAATGGCAGTGTTCCTGAATACTGTACTGGACAAAAAAAAAAGGAAAAAAAACCAAAACAACAAAACCACCACCACCAAAAAAACCCAAACCAACCAACCAACAACAAAAAAACCCCAAGCAAACAAACAATAATAAAAAAAAAAATTTAAAAATAAAAAAAGAGGTATGAGCATAGAATATTCTTGTTAAAATATTTTAAAATATATTATTCCAAACAAAAGATGTGGCTGTCAGTCAACTTACAAGTTTGTTATACCAGTAAATATTAGATGCTAATAAAGCATTATGTCTT